TTGAGTGCAATCAATTTTTATTTAGAAAAAATATACACTACAATTTTGCCTCAAAAATGTTGTACTTGTTATTCTAAAACACAACAAAGATTCATATACTGAAGTCAAAGAACCATGTATTTTCTAAATAAAACCTGTGGAATTTTTAAAATGAAAAGTAAAATAAGATTTGTTTATGCAGTTCTACCATTTCAAATACTATGATATAGTACATCGAAATCAATATTCAGGTGACTTGTGTGATCCTGGAATGGGTTTCTTTGATGAGGAGCTAAATATATATACAAAAAATTTCTTAAATATAAATCAATACAATTCTTCTGCAACTTAATCACTGTCAGAATCAGATTCCGACTCTGCCTCCCTCACTCTGAGCGGCACCTTGTACTCCTGATCGCACCCCATGTACGCGTCACTCATGAAGTAGAGCCTGTACTCGTAGCTGCCCTCGCTGGGCGCCACGAAATCCAGCTTCACCTTGGCCTTCTGCTGCAGCGTGAGGCGTTTGATGGAGATGAGGGAGTTGGCCTTGGGGTCGCCGATGATGACCCACCAGCCCTCCTCGCGCTTGTGGGGGAAGAGTGGGGCGATGACGGGGCCCGGCTCGTCCTCGCGCTCCAGCACCACCTCCACGTTCACCATCGCGCCGCTCGTGATGGAGTCCGAGTCCACCACCTCGTAGTCCAGGTTGATGCTCGGGTAGCGGTTGCAGAAGCGAGCCACGTCCGTCATCTGGGCATCCGACAGCTGAAGCAGCCGGTTTCGGTCGTCGTCCTCCAGTTCCAGGATGTCGAAGACTGAGGTGACGTCCTTGGCTTCGCACCGCTCAATCATGTCGCTGGTGAAGTGTGGCAGCTGTTTCAGATATGAGTCCTTGGACCACATGGCCTGTGTCACCATCTGTGCCAGTGTCATGGCAGAAAGAGCAGGTGCTAACCAACCATTAGATGAGAGCACATCTACACAGGCCTGGATGAGCCTGAGGGCACGTCCCAGAACCAGCTCTGTGTCTTGCTGCAACTCGGCACTCAGTGTGAGGCGGGTGAGATGAGCCTGCAGCATGAGGTTAGTCTTTGTGTGTGGGTCGGTGGGCTTCCCTTCTGGCTTGTTGGGCACCTTCTGTATGAGACGTCGCAGGGTGTCTTCCTCCCCGTGGCGAATGGGAACATTTTCATACTCTGCAGCACTGGAGATGATCTCCAGCAGACCTCTGATCTTCGTCTTGCTGTTGAGAGATTTGTTGAACAATTCAATTGTAGTGTAGTTGATGTAATAATATGAGGCAATGATTCCCAAGTTAAGGGGAGCCGTGTCCATGTCATCTTCAATGGTGATGCACCTTGACTCTTCCAGGTCATGAAGAGTGTTCTCCACCAGGTCTGAGAGGTGATCTGACAAATGACGATGAGACACACCCTGCAGTCCATAGTAATTGGGGTTCTGTGTCATGCGGCGGTACAAGAAAGTCCAAGTGACATAGTCCACAGCCTCCTGTTTGTTCTCAATGGTACGTGTGACAATCTCAGCATTGAAATGGTCGTGGAGGGCATGGTCAAGATGGCTCTCAATGGGCAGAGGCTCATACAAGAACTTCTTAAAGTAGTCCTTCTTGGAGGAATGACACATGAGGACACACTTGGCTTCATCATCGTCATTAGGTCTATTTGCACGACCTACCATCTGCAGGGTGTCCGTGATGGGATAATCTTCGTAGTTGTGAAGACGCCCATTGTAGCTCTGTGTGTCCATGATAACAACCAAGTGAGCAGGTGCTGTCACAGCCCAACACAGTGCACGGCTCACAACCACCACCTGGATGGCTTCTGCCTCAAAGAGCCGCTCAACCATCCTGCGGTCTCTGGCACTGAGACCCTCATGCAGGTATCCTACACCCTGGCTCACCAGTTCCCTTAACATTTCATCACTTATCTGTGGAAGGAATTCTGTCATTTCCTCAGGGTTTACTTGCAAGAATCTCTGTGGTTCCTTGTCTGCTGCAGCAAAGGTAAGGAGGTCACTTGCTGTGATCATACTCTGCTTTCTTGAGGGAACAAACACCATTGCTGGCTTCCTTGGACTGTGCTTTAGGATAGCTGAATAAGCAGGTTTGGCCATGGCATATATTCTTGAAGCATTGTGGGGATTGTTGAACCCTTGAATGTGCAGTTCTAGTGGCAATGGACGAACATTTGGGTGGAAATTGAAGGTGTAGTTTGAAGAACACCCGAGCCACTGTGCCACATCTCTGGCATTGGCCAAGGAAGAACTCAAAGCCAGAATTCTGATGTGTTTGCTGATCTTTGAGGCAATGTAACGAATCCTGGAACAAACCACTTCCAGTGTAGGGCCATCAGAGCCTCCCATCAACTGCAGTTCATCAACAATAAACAAACTAATATTCTGCACATTCTTCCTCTGTTTCCAGCGGCGAGAGAGCACATCCCACTTTTCTGCTGTGCTTACCACAATGTTTGCTTTGTTAAGAAGCTTGAGATCTGCACCAGTCTCACCAGTCAGCAGCACTACCCTCTTGTCCAGGTTCCCAAACTTCTCCTGCCAGTGGTCATACATGCTCTCCACAATCTCATCCTTGGAGGCCACGTACACACACCTGGCAGTCTCATCCTGGCTGAACATCCTCAAAATAGCAAACTCAGCACACAGAGTCTTGCCAGAACCTGTAGGAGCAGCAATGAACACACTGTCATCTGAGTTGTAGGTTGCATTGAAGACCTGAGTCTGGATGGGGTTGAACTGCTGGTTTCTGTTGAGGGTCTTGTAGAGGGCCTCGTACTGGGGGTTCCTGAGAGCAGTGATGGGCAGGGGCTGAAGGTCAAGCAGCTCAGTGGGAGGCGGGTATTTCTCAGGAAGGATCAAATGCCGGAAGGACACGGGCAACTGGGTCTCTGCAGCAAGCCAGGTGTCAGAAGTGATGCGGATGAAGTAATGGGGATGGAGAGGCTCAAACACAGGCACAAAGAACTTGATGACATGCTCATCTTCATTGAACTTTTGCTTCAGGAGGAAATACTCGTGGTGGAGGATATTTTCTGCATCCACATCCTCAACCAAGATCCAGAATGCCTGTGAGCGTCCGTGGACTTTCTCATCCCACTTGAAGTCAGGGGTGATGGTGAGCTCCACCTTGAGCATCTGGCGGGTGATGGGCTGGATGTGAGTCTCCAGGTCCAGCTTTGGCAGCTGATGAATGTACTTGTGGATCATCTTTCCTCCCTTGGGCATGCGGATGAGCTCACCAATCTCGTTGGGGCCCAGGTCGTAGAGACGTTCCCAGGGAATGCTCTTCTTTTCCAGCTTGCGGATGGCCTCCTCGGGGATCTTCCTGAACTGGCGAAGGGGCGACATGGACTGCCACATCCTCTTGTCCACCATCTTACACAGGTTCAGAGTCTTGTCTGCCAGCTGGGCCCAGCCCCTGTGAAGCACAATCTCAAACATGGCTCTCATCAGCCTCCCAGCACTTTGTGTCACATACACCATATCTGACATGAGGGCAAAACCATCAAGTTTGAGCTGAGAAATATAAGCCTGCAAGAGGATGTTGACCTTTGCACTGGGCTCTTCAACACTCTCCTTGATTGGAATTGGTACACGCTCCATCAACTTCTTCAACTCCAGCTTTTCCTCCTCTCTCACCATAAGATTCTTGAACTCAGAACTCTGAGAGAACACCCTGAACAACTCGATCTCACTCAAGGTTGGCTTCAACTGCTGGTTGTAGACATTCATGGTGTCAAACGTGATGTAAAAGTAACTGGCAATGCGTCCCAACTCTGTGACCTGGAAATTCCCACTCTTTTTATCGTATTTGATGAGGTTGCCCTTTTCTAGTTTCAGGGCTGCTGAATGGATGAGGTTGGCTCGATGCTGCTGTAAGTACTTATCAGAAGTGTCAGACTGCACGGCATACAAGTTGCCTGCACGGACCATTCTCACATACAAGTATGTGTAACCCAACCAGTTCACAGCATCACGAACACTCTGAACAGATCCCAAGACAATTTCTGCATTTAAAAGGTCTGGCAACTTTGCTATCAACTGGGATTCAATGGGTAACTGCTGATTCATCAAGGAAAGGTAATATTGCAACTCTGAATGGTTGGTGATGAGGATGCCTTCACCCTTCGTATCATACTGGGGTCGACCTGCACGTCCCAACATCTGCAGTACATCCAGGGCGCCCAGCTCTACCCAACGTCCCTTGCTTGCATCATAGACTTGTGTTCCTTTGATCACTACAGTGTGAGCTGGAAGGTTCACACCCCAGGCAAGTGTGGCAGTGGACACCAGCACCTGAATGTGCCGATCAGCAAACAGATCTTCCACCAAGTTACGGTCCACCCTGTTCATTCCAGCATGATGAATAGCAAAGCCATAGGGTAGCAGTCCTTTAAGGTCATTGTTCTTCACCTGCTCAGCCTCTGTGCGCAACACCTCTGTGGATGCCGATCCCTCTCTCAGAAAGTTACCAAGAGTATCTTTTTCCAGACACATGTCCAGGATTGCTTTGGCAGTTTTCGCCGTCTCTTTTCTTGAGTGAACAAAAATCAGGATCTGGTTCTTTCCAGCATGCTCCATCACCTTTTCATACAAAATATCATTCATGACTTGGTATCTCTTGATGGCCTTCTTCTCAGTAATACCAATGTACTGCTGTGCAAGGGGCACTGGTCGGAAGCTGTTGTCAAAGAAGAACAGTCCAGTCTTTAGGTTGACTCTTAGGAAAGCTGCAACATCTTCATAATTGGGCAACGTGGCTGACAACCCAACCAGGCGAACAATGTCCCCCGTTGTCTCGGCGTTTCTCAAAGTACGCGCCACCAAAGCTTCAAGTACGGGGCCTCGTTCGTCGTGGAGCAGATGGATCTCATCAAATATAATAAGTCTAACGAGCTGAGTGTACGACCTCTCACCACCACGTCTTGTGATGACATCCCACTTTTCTGGCGTACACACAATCACTTGGGTTTCCATAATCTGCTCTCGCGTCAACTGATGGTCACCAGTCAGCTCCCCTACCTTCAGCCCATATGACTCCAGCCTCTTTGAGAAGTTCTGGGTCATCTCTGTGACAAGGGAGCGCATGGGGGCCACATAGATGATTTTGAAGGCATCCCCATTGATGGAGCCGTCTGGGTTGGTGTTCTTGCCGACTTCCCTTAATATGGTAAGGAGAGCCACGTTGGTTTTACCTGCACCAGTGGGAGCACAGAGCAGTAGATTTTCATCACTGTCCATGGCTGCCTTGAACAACTTGCTCTGGATTCTGTTGAGGTTCTTAAAGCCATCAAAGGCAGGCTGGGCATAAGTTGGCAAGTTGGCAATGGGGACCAGGGTTTCATCTGGGGCAAAGGGCTTAGGTTTGAGGGCGGGGACATGAATCTCATCATACCCCTTCTTCATCTGTCTTGTTGAGCCCTCTGGAAGGTGGCACTTCTTGTTGGAGTTGTAATGAGAACCTGTTGTGAAAACAAGAGCCTCCAGGTCTACATATTCTCTATGACCTGGGACCTGTCCTGACCTGTCATCGACTTCCATTGCCTCTGTATTGATTCTTCTTGGTCGAGAACCACCCATTTCCTCTCCGTTATCGTTCATGTCCATGGCCTCCTCCTCGTTTTCAAGCAAAGCCAGGATTCTTTTCAGGTTGGGCTCTGCTAACATTATTCGGCGAATCTCTTCTTTCTCTGTTTCAGACTGGGCTGAGGCAAGGAGTGTGCAGTATAACACCATCTGTCGATTCTTGTTTAAAATTTTAATAAACTCAAATTTATCGTAACCAAGATTGAGCACAAGTTTATTTTCACACTCTCTGTCATCCTTTGCTGTCTTGAGAATTTCGAGCACGTCGCTTGACTTCGTCTGCGCCTGTATTGGATCATTGTAAAATCTGTTGAGCTCCCTCTGCAGCCAGTGCGCACCGATGTCGTGTGGGCTCAGCACTCTCTCCTTCTTGGCTCCCACCTGGTCACCCCCTGTGAGGTTCTCCGCATGGATGGCATGAGATCCTGCAGCACTCTCTTCTGCGTCAATTTCTTCTTCCTCATCATCTCGCACTTCACCTGCCACATCATCTTCCTCCTCCTCCTCAGAATCTTCAAACTGCACGTTGACACCATGAGTCTCATCTAGCACGGCCTCATTTGCCACGGTCTTTGTCTCGTGGCCAAAATCTGTGATTTTCTTCCCTAAATTGACTAGCACCGCAAACCTTTCCTCTGCCAGACTCCCCAGCAGCTCTTCTGTCTCTTTCTTGCGTTCTCTGTCTTTGAGTTTGTCATTTTTGAGGACTGAGAGGACTTCATCAGCTGCACCACAAAGGACATCCCTGGGCTGGTCCCCAAGGGCCTCCTGGATAAACGATAGGATCACCTCATAGGTCTGCTTTGTGTCGGTGCTCTTTGGTCTGTAGAAAATGTCAGCCATGTCGTCCAGTTCCAGAATGGTCATGTTCTTCACGGCAATGCTGGGGGCGTCCTCGCGCTTCTGTTTCTTGGACTTCCTCTGCTCCTCCTTGGGCTGCTGTGGCCGGGTGCGCTGGTACCGGTCCCCCATGCGCGTCCCCTCCAGCTTCCCCGTGAGGGACATGACTTCTCCGGTGGCCTCATCTTTGCCACGTCTCTCGATGAGCCGAACATCTGCTTGTAATACGAGGTTCGAGTTCTGTTGAAAGGGAATGCTTTTAGTATGTGTGTGTGGAGAGAAAGCCCAAGTGTTAATTCTGAAAGTATAGAAGGGGTATATAAATATCTGATTCTTACTCTAGTAATTAATGTGATATGAAAGAGAGAGAGAGAAATCACAGGTGAAAAAGTGCAAAACTTTGTGTTTACAATATGTCAAGTCTATCAATTTCTAGTTGGGAATATGAAATTACTGTGTGCTTTAAACTTTTAGGAGGTACAGATATTTCAGGATCAAGAATCTTTAACAACTAATTTTCATTATCTTTAATATATGTTATATATTACTTATCAGCAATAGTTATATCAACAAAACAACATAGTCCACTTTATGAAAATTAATCATGCCTGTAAAAAGAAAGTCAACATTCTATAAGATACCAAAATAAAAATACACAGCGATTGATAAGGAATTGTTTGTGCTAAATCAACAATAGCTTTAGCACAAACTCCATAATGATGCAATATAGCAATATATTTATCTTATCAAATCAATTCTTTATCTCCTGTAAAACAATTATGAAAATTAAATATACCATTAAAAATGTCTTACATATATGCCTGTTAAAACAACACAATCAACAAAATACTACAAACTAAGCCTATCTACAATTTACACCATCAGACAGCTCAAAATTATCAATGCCTTTTATTGTATTAATAAATAAGCTGCGACAAGAGATGATTTGATTAGAGCATCAGAATCAGTTCAAATTATGCACAATTATTGCACATCATCGCATACTAAAGTATACTTTTTCTTATTCTACACTCGTAATAAAACTATAGTTAGTTGACATAAAAAAAAAAAAAAAAAAAAAAAAAAAAAAATAATAATAATAAAAAAACATAAAATAAAGCCTTAGTAAACATAAGATTAAGTTGACACTGTAATATATGCAAAGGTTTCTCTGCCTCCTGCATGAAGGGGAGAAACCCCATTAAAACTCTAAAGAACTCACTCTCAAACTGCATTCTTTACTCCAATAGCTTTGTTGATGAGCACACAAGAGAATGGCCATCACAGATTTAACCATCTATTCAGTACTATAGCACAGAATGGGAGAAAGAAGGGGAGGAGAAGAGGGAAAGAGAGAGGGGGGAGGGAGAGAGAGGGAGAATGAGAGGGAGATAGAGATAGAGAGAGATAGAGAGAGAGAGGGAGGGAGGAGGAGAGAGAGAGATAGAAAGGGAGAGAGAAGGAGAAAGGGAGGGAGGGAGGAAGGGAGGGAGATAGAGAGAGAGAGAGGGAGAAAGGAAGGGAGATAGAGAGAGAGAGAGAGGGAGAAAGGGAGGGAGACAGAGAGAGAGAGAGGGAGATAGAGATAGAGATAGATAGAGAGAGAGAGAATCCATCCATCTATTCAGTACTATAGCACAGAATGGGAGAAAGAGGGGGAGGAGACGAGGGAGAGAGAGGGAGAAAGGGAAGGAGAGGGAGGGGGGAGGGGGGGAAAGGGGGAGAGGGAGAAAAGGGGGAAAGGGGGAGGGGGAGGGGGAGGGGGAGGGAGGGAGAGAGGGAGAGAGGGAGAGAGAGAGAGAGAGAGAGAGAGAGAGAGAGAGAGAGAGAGAGAGAGAGAGAGAGAGAGAGAGAGAGAGAGAGAGAGAGAGAGAGAGAGAATCTATCCAGAAAAATGAATTTATTGTTATAGCTATTAGCATTAACCATTAACCCAATACCAAAGGGCAGGAATGTATGCACATGCCATGCCCACTGTGAGTTTACTTTATGAATTGTCACCAATGAGCCAATTACGAGTACTGCCTGTCTCACCCATTTACCCTTTTCTTGATTTATGAAAATATTTTATGATATCATATTTTGTTGTTACTAATGTTTATAACATTATAGCAATTATAAATTCTATTATAAAAATAACACCATCAATATTGATAGCACTAGTAAAAAATACGTTCCTCCTGCCAATTCAAGGAAAGGTGAAATTAGGTATGGTCAAAAGGTCTACTAATTGACTTATTTGTGGCTAGGCACTAGCAGAGCCATCCATCTATGTGCAGAAACATTTCACAACAATATAAAAAATGAGCACAGCATTTCCCCCATTTTTTATTCATTTTCCCCAGCAGCATGTAGTTAATATGTTATATGGCTTTATGTTTTAAATGCATGCTTCTGGTAAAGTATATCTATTTACTTGGTATATGCAAAATCCTTTTCCTAGCTTTAACTCTCCACTCTGCAGTATGTATCAGATATATTACAGGGAAATATTCATTTCTGAATGTGCAAAATAAAGGTCTAGAAATTTCAAAGACCAAAAGGTGTCATTTACTTCACTTCACTAAAGACTTTATATATAATGGCTCTGCTAATCCTTAGCTACAAAGGAGTCAATTAGTAAACCTTGTGACATTACCTAATTTCATCTTTCCTTGAACTGGCAGGAAAAAAACATATTTTTTACTGGTGCCATAAAGATTGATGGTGTTATTTTATTATAAATATAATGACTATAATGTTATAAACATTAGTAACAGCAAAATAAGGTAACTTAAAATATTTTCATAGATCAAGGAAAAGGGTAAATGAGTGAGATGGGCAGAACACATAATTAGCTCATTGGTGACTTAGTACAAGTGTAGCCATCTATGTGTAAAAACAATTAATAAGGTAATTTCACAGTGGGTATGGCATGTATGTACATGCCATGCCCATTAGCATTGGGTTAAGGAGTCAATTATGGTAAACTTGCCAAGCATTCCACTAATCAAGATGAATTCTGCATAAAATGAAAGAAAGAAAGAAAGAAAGAAAGAAAAAAAAAGGCTATACAAAAACTGAATCATTAAAGCTGTACGGCCACAGTTCAAAAGAGACAAAAAAAAATCTATCATTAGGTACTCAAAGTTACTGGTATTTGTTCCCATGAATAGACTAATGGCTAAAATGTAAAAGTGGGTGACAAATTTAACAAAAATTAACAAATTTCTTAAGTTCTCTTCTTTACAAAAGTGAAACTTAATGAATGTCACTAATTCACTTCTCAATTTCGTTTGGGTGGACAGCCAAGGCCCTAAGGATAATACAGCCTAATCACCAGAATTAATCCCTCGGGTCTGGGTGCCATCAAGAGAATTTCATCTGAAGGCTCTTGGAGGGTGATTAGACTCAGTGGGAACATAAGTGTTTCAGTGTGAAATTTTTACTGTAATTGGTGACTTTATTTCCAATTACTGTAGTAATTGTGATTTTGGAACCTCCTATCAGTAACCGAGTGCATGGTGTAGCATCCATGAGCTATGACTGGAAGAGCATGAGCTCAGAATCCTATAACCTACTCGTCACGACCAGATGGTACTACAGAGAACTGAATATTGAACAACAGAAAATAACAAAATGTTACTTATTGTCATTATTTGTGCAATGAGTTACAGACTACCCAGAGAGATAAAAAGGAGTTTACAAGGAAAACAGTTTATTACCATCTGAATGCAGCATATCGAATGACATAATATAGACATTGGAAGATCGCAAAAAATAATTGTGCAGAGAGATGATAATATTGCAAAGTGGAGGCATGAGTGTTTGTGGGTACCTGGCCTACAAGCCACACACCCATGAGAGTGGTCACTCTAATAAGCCTAACGCCCAGATTTTGGGCCATATGTGGGCAGTGAAGAAGATGATCCTGGGGTTAAAACACTTTCCTTATAAATTTGAATATCTCATTAGCCATTGAAAATAACTTCTACACAAATTAAAAACCAACCATTTCTACTTAGTTTCATGATACAACTTGTTATCTAGAGATAATGCAACATTAATAAATATCTCAATAATGAAGAACACACCCTTAAATATGCATCTTAATGGGCAAATTTTCCCTATCCCCTAGGCCTAATCAAACAAACTACTGTGTCTTAGAAATATGTACCTGGAGACTGGAGCAAGTTACCACAATGACTGCATTTACACAAAATTTTCCACCAAACAAGGAGCATTTGCAGTGAAATAGATTAACTTATTCTTTACAGACACAATTTTAATCACTTGGTTTTCTTCAAGCATGCAACACACTTAAGTGCAATAATTCCATTACATAATATAATTGAATTGACTTCCAACAAAACATCGTAAAATAACCACTAACAGCCAGCAAAATTGTGTACCAATATTAAACTGTACTGAAAATGAGGTGGCATCATGTCCTAATGTCTCAGAAATATTATACGAGAGAATATTTTAAGGCATGAATAGCATTAGTGTGAGTACCAGATGTACAATGCAGCTACTGCACTGAGACAGGACTAGAAAAATCTGATTTTACAGAATTGTATGTTTTATGTGACACAAAAATCAGGAGGCGTATTGGTATTGCGAAAGACGCATTTGAGAAGTTAGGAAATATTCTGAATGAAAACAAGATGTCAATGGAGATAAGGAAAAGAGTGTAAGACTGTTATGTGAAATCCATCCTTTTATACGGCAGTGAATACTGGACAATATCACCCTTAATGCAGAAAAGGATAGAAGCAGCTGAAATGTGGTTTTACAGGCGAATGTTGAGAATACCATGGACAGAGCATGTAACAAATGAAGATGTTTTAAGAAGAGCAGAACAGAAAGAAGCCTAATGAAGACACTCAGGAAGAGACAGCTCGCACTTCTTGGACATGTCATGAGGAAGGAAGGGCTAGAAAATCTGACTCTCACTGGATACGTTGAAGGAAAGAGAGGCAGAGGAAGACAACGATTAACCTACTTGAAGAGCATGAGTAAATGGATGATAGAGCAAAGACCAGATGGAAATAAAGAAAGAATGAGCGAACAAGAACTTCTGAGAACAACAAAAGATAGGAAGTAGTGGAGAGCCATGATCGCCTACGTCCTGAACGGATATGGCACCTAGAGAGAGAGAGAATGTTTTATCAAAGTACAACAAAATTTTTGCAGCAAGAGGAAATTACTTATTAATCAAGAGGAGGAGGAGAAGGAGGAGGAACAGAAAGATTTCCCAGATTTCGTATCATCTCTCGAGGTAATCCATAGAGAAATAATATCAACAATAAGAAACAATTCATTATTTGTGTCCTTTTTTTTAAATTTAAATTTTAGTGTATTATTTTATTCACTAAAAAAATTTCTGCTGAATCCACATCTAAGGTCATTAGAAGCATATTCAAAATAAAGTGATAAGGTGGGGCTTGGGGGTGAAGGAGAGGAGGAGAAGAAAAGACTATGCAAAATTAGTTAAGTCGAGGATTGAGGGTCAAGGTAGGGGTGATCTCCTACACTGGGCTTCCGGTTCCGCCTCCTAAACCCCCAAATGGCAACAGGCAAGGGGTTGGGGAGCGCAATTTCTATAATACAGCCTGTGGGTAGGAATAGGATCCTGAGCATGAATACAGAGTACTCTTTGGAGCCAACCCTGTTCCACATCATGGCTCATGGATGGTACATTTTACACTCATTTACCAACAGGAATAATGCAAAAGCCCAATCCTAAAGCCTACTGTCTAATCACTCTCCAAGAGCCATCAAATGAAATTCCCAGCACCCAAAACTTTCCATGACAATGTGTTAACATTACCTTGCCCTTAAGTCTTCCTGTCCATCAAAGCAAATAACTATGCAAATGTGAAACCATATCCTGGCATATTTGACAGCTCTGTTGTCTCAGCACACTAATTACACCTATGCAAAATTTCTTTACAAGATTCCACTGAAATTAACTCATAACAAAAGTGTTAAAATTTTGGGGTAATTCTAAATTCTATGAAATACAAAGATCATGTTCCAGCTGCACATGCCCAACAGAAATCTAAGATTTGTCAACTTGCCAACCAATGGCAGGCCATTACCCTTCATCCAAAGGTAAACCTGTTTTGAGTATTGTAAAAGACATAGCAATCAGGTAGGAAATACAGTGGTAGGGAAAGGGTTTAGAGTTAAAGCCCTCCAGCAAGGGAAATACATTGCTCAGAAGGAGGCAATTTCATCCAAATCCTCCCTCCCCCTGGTTACTCACAAGATCCCCAAAATTTGCTGGCTGGAGCTGGAGATATTATCAAACTCTAAAGCATGACTAAGGGATCCTTGAACCCCCAGACCGCCTATGATTATAGGGGACAGGGGAAGAAATAAAGAAAACCTGAAAAATCAATCAATTCATAAATGTTAATGAAATGACTACACACTTCTGAGACTAAGGCCCTATTTCTCCAGGCAATAACCTTGGAGGCACTGCAGTAAATCCACAATTGTCATCATATGAATAAAACACTTTCCTAACCCAGCCCTGACCCTCACCTGTCAAGCTTTTTTCCCTAGCCTGGGTTCCGCCCTTGTCCTCCCACACGATCACTGTGAACTGTCTCAAAATGGCATTTGTTGCAACTTATTTTCATCATTTCTAATGTTATCCTTTACCTATGCAAGTTACTTCATAAATCAGTGATTTTTTTTTCCAGGTCTTAGTGACATCATATGTAAACATATCCAACTAAATTCACGATTTATTGCTATCATATTTTGTTAGTTGACATCATTAGTGATGGACTCTTTGGTGACTAAGTTCTTACGAATTCACCTATATGTAAACAAAATTGGTAATTTTCACAATACCTTCTCATGACCAATTGCAACAATTTGGTATCGATGGATTCCACTCGCCCTGTAGTACACATACATGTAGGAATTATGTTGTAGAACCCCTTAAAACCCTCTCATTCTTGGCTCTGAGAGCATGGGAGAGCATGGAAGGTAAACTAACAACAATATTATAACTTAATGAAGATTCATCACTACACTGCATGGACTGCCCCCCTGCAACCCCTTCATGGCGGGCTGTCACCCCTTAACCCTTGCCCAGGAAAACAAAATAATATGTATGGCAGGATAGAGCAACAGACAGACTCAGCATCAGGTGTTCCCAAATGTTGGTCATGAGCTATACGCAGCAAAGAGGATTCTTTGTCTTCCATTGCAGGGGTTTGAGAGGAAGCCCCCTAGGAGGGAGATCACAGGGGTTACAGCCCCTGCATCAGACAATATAGAGATTGATTCCGTGTATGTCATTCATAGGTTACCCACAATTTCCCTGATACCTTTCACGCCCTACCCTGCTATTGGGGCCAAGATTGTCACTATTGAACAACATCAACAGGTTAACCCCCTTGGATCCAGGTGATGTGACCATCACACCATGAAAAAATCTGGCTCAAGAGTCGGGTGATGTGAACATGCCATCATGGAAAAATCTGGCTGTAGGCCAGATGACACAAAACTGTTGTCATGAGCATTTCGGGTGAAGGCCAGGGTGATAGGAAAGACTCACTAAAAGTACAAAAAAATCTTGGGAGGCTTATTAGACTCATTTGGAGATTTTGCATTATCCTCATTGATGTACGAATGTGGAATGTAATGTCCATGAGCCATGACTGGAAGAGTGCTGGCTCTATGGAGGACACCATTTCCATGCTCAGCATCGTATTCCTGGTGCCCTGACCACTGACAGAGATTGGGTTAAGTGTTTCCTTTCATTCTAGGCGAATACAAATTATACAAATTAGATGCAAGTACAAAATTTTAAAGAGTGTGCACCAGTCATTCAGCCTCACATTAAAAAGTGACTTTATTTATGGGGGTTCGGGTCACTTTGCTGCTGTGTGGAATTCTCAAGCTCTCCTATAATCATAGTACCAAATCAATCTCTGTATTGTCAATTGCTAAAGTCTGTATCCCCTGCAACCCCCTTTGTGGGGGGCTGCCACCCCCAAACCCATCCAGGAAAACAAAGAATCCTCCAAATATTCACAGCAGAAAAGAGCACCGAAGAGACTCGGCATCACGCGTTTAAGTCGTTCACTCTACCCTGTTGTGGATAGAGCGAGAATTCCTCAATGAAAAAATGTGCGACCAGAACTCCCATAAAACCATTCAGTAGACGGCACGCTCCACCACAACCAGGGGGCACAGCAGCCACCAGCATGAGGGTCCTTGCCTTGCTGACCGTGAACGCAGAGCAGTAACTATCACCAGTGCGTAGCTGGCGGCATGCAACACTTACAAATATCTTCCCAGAAAACGTCGCTCTTAATCTCTATTGGTATCGCCAGTGAAGCTCACGTACTTACAGAATTACTAAGAAAATAAATTCAAACCTTCCTTTCCCTCGTCCTGAGAGTTCCTTCACAACATGATCCTAAATCAAAAACAAGCAATGAAGGTATCAAGTGATAGCAATGACAAGGCGAAACAAGGGACAGAGAGTCCGTCACACGCCTCCAACCTGTACAATTACCTACAAATTTGATAAAAAAGCTCCAATTGCCC